TGTCTGGGAGCTGCCCTCCAAGCTGCGACATTGAAAGAAGAACGGAGAAAAGCACGACATCCCCCTTCAACCTTCATCCAGTGTGCTTCATAGTTCTTTTAAGATGAATGGAATCTGCTTCATGTCTTGGACTCGGAAGACTTGTTCTAAGAGCTCGATCTCATTCTTCCGATGACAGCGACAGCACAAGTCCGTTGCGCAGAGGGTTTGTCCCGGCCTGTCACGAGCGTGTCCGGCACCCTGTGGGTGCCCGGATGTATAGAGTCTGTTAAGCTGTTCGAGTCATTTGGAGCTGACATGTTTTGACTGCCAGAGAAATCCTGAAGGAGTCATTGGGATCCCCCAAGAGATGACCGTGGCACGGTGTCCAAGACATTTTTGGCACGGTGGAGGTCCTATGTTTCGATTCTATTTGGGGGTCGGAAAAAAAAAACACACACATATATATATATAATATATATATATACATCAGTTCCGGGAGAGACTCGGCTCCATCCGAATGGCCATGACTGACTCTTCGGTGCACCCAAGACCACGGCAGGGCGCAGACGTGGTACACCAACTTATCCTTTGGAGACCGTCGGAGGACCGGCAAAACCCATGCTCATCCATCCGAACTGCCCAGGGATGCCCCAAGGGATGGCTAATTTCTCAGCAGCAGTGTTGCTAGTAGTAATTTTGGAACGAAAACTCTTCCTGCAGAGGTAAACCGCAATGATAAGAAGCTTGATCCATTCGCATGAACTGGCGTGTTTAGACACTGCCCCCCCCAACGCCACTGGGTCTCTGGTTGACACTGAATTGTTGAAACCTGGTGATTTCGATTTGGAAACGGATACATCACCAACCCCCAAAGCCTGCCACTACCGGTGAACCACCATGTCGAACATCACCGTTGCTTCGTTGCTTTCCTTTTGTGCCACCAAATACCTCCGACGGCATCAAACACCTCTGCCACCGCCGAGTTTTTCGACTGGCAGAACTTTTAAAACGCCCGGCGCGGGCGCCGGTTTTGCGGCGAAGATCGGTGACGCCCCTGTCTCAGACGCCTCATCTGGAGGATGAAGGTATCTGGGGCACTGGGGTGTTGTGTGATGGACAACAAGGAAAAACACTCTCAACGCAGGTTTGGCTTCAACAGTCTTGGGGTATTTAAGCGAGATGACTGTATTCGTGTACCAGCTATGTTATTCCCAAATGAGGTCAGGGTACAGTTTGCGGACAACCAGAAGACTGCTGTTCTCTCTGCACCTCTGGGTTGGACCGTCTGTTCAGGGCAGGACACTCTGTTCAGGGCATATTCGGTGGTTCACCTTTTGTATTGTCTTTTGAGTACTTGTCCTATTTAGCTTTTAAGCTGGAATGAAGACATCCCTACAAATCACTCATCATCTGGTTCAGGTGGCTTGAGATTTCACCTTTCGCAGGTCCAGATCGAGGCGAAAGGTCGCCGTGCGTACGAACGACCCACAACTCAAGCATGGGCCCGGTCACAAGTTCACACTGGTCACGCTGAGTGCCGGGGTGTCCACCCCTGAACTTCCGGAACTTGACTCATGAAACGACCCCACCTGGTAGTCATCATTTACCACTACCCGATAGGGGTAAAATGCGTCAAGACTCACTGGACGACCCTGAAAAACAAGACACCCACGATGTCGTCTGCCTCGCTGAAACTTGATTCATTCATATTCATTCATCTTCCTATGTTCCGAACAGCTCGGGACAGCTCAGTCGCCAAAGTGAGTGCCCCAGAAGGATGCGCTGCTTTGCCATCTTCGCTGCTTTGCTTTCAGCTGATGCGCTGGGTCACTCCCTCAAACACGAAAAAGACAGAATCTGCGTCTGGCTCGTGACCGAATAAAGAAGCATCGTACTACCCTCCCTCAAACACGACTGTGGAGTTCACCCCTTGTTTCGGACTTGGGAAAGTCTCATGGGTTCGCCCGAGTGCAAGCTGTCCACATGCTGCTTTTGATAGCTAATTGGGCCTCATGTACGACGGAGAGTCCTAAGGGAAAACACGCCATCGATGGTGCCCGTGAAATCCCGTGACATCGCCATTGATGCAGCTAAAACAAGGCTCCTCGGTCAGTGAGGCTTAAGAAATCCCGGTGTCCCACCTCGGAGTACCGACGTCGGCCGTTCCTTTTTTTTGGTTATGGGATCCGCGGGTCACGTCGTATCCAAAAAAGCCTCATGTATCGTATCCACTGGACATGCGATCCGCGCGAGATCCGTGGTCACGTCATACCTGCTGCGCGGCATCCGGCGATTGTTGCACCACCATCGACATGGCACCCACGGACCCAGAGAGGATCCGACGGGTTGAGAGAAGAACGGATGGTTTTCAGAACGTTTCTGTTGAACAAGAATGGTTGTTGAACATGTTAGCGAATGGTTTCAGAGAATGGTTTCGGACCACCATCTTCCGGTGGTTGAAAAAAAGAATGCTTTGCCAGGGAATTGAAGATGAATGAGCAGAGCCCAGACCCAGCGTGTCGGACCTTGCAACGACTCTCTTTCTTCCCCTGCCACGTGTGCACACGTGAGCCATCACCCTGGAGTCGTTGTTTGGAGCAGGCTGTGCCGGTGGTTTGACCAGGCTGTGCCGGCGTGCCGGCGCAGAACAAGGGTCTGGGTCTGGCCCAAGAAGGGTCTGGCCTGCAGAGATGATGTTGCTGTCATCCTTCGAAATCTAGGGACAACGCCAAACCACAATGTATCTTATCAATGTGGTAAACCACCAAATTGCGAAGAATTCTTGGGAGATGGAGAGGGAGAATCAGTTTTTCCTTGACCCATCTCTGCCAGATTTGGAGCAAACAAATGGGACACCATCCAAAGCAAACGCTTCTGTTGAGGAATCCGTTCGGATAGTCCTATGACTCTCTGGACCTTCATGTGGCACGGACAATCCACAGTTGCTTAGACCAATCTTTCCCTTAGCAGATCTTAGCAGCAGGGGGAGAGATCATACATATCACTTCACCCAGGCCCACAAGAATTTACATTCTTGTGGTTGGGCACCAGACAGTTCTTCCTCATCTGGTGATAAAAGCAGAATGGGCAGTTCTAAGATACATAGAGAGTGTTTGAAGAGTGCAAACGGTTTTTCTCGAACAGGATTTCATCCAACAGGAGAGGTCCTTCTGACCTGACATGATGCAATGGCATATACCCTACTTGACTTCTGGTCTTTGACATTGTTGGTTGGAAAAAGGTCAAAACCACTGGCACACCCGATGGGCACATTGGCCCCACTTTTGACCTCACGCAGGAACGAAGACCGAGCCATTCGGAAGGAACGAAGGAAGCGCCCGTGCCAAGGGGCACGGGCGTGGTCGGCGGTTTGCCTTCGATTCGTGCGGTGATGCGAATGATCCGGAATCTTCCAATTGAAACCGAGCAGGTGAAAGGAATGCCAGCAAGGTCCTGGCAGCAATGCCGCCATCTCTACCTTGAAGTAGTGACGTAGTGGATGACACTGAGGCTGGTAGAGATTTCAGCCATGACTAGGGTAACGACATGGTATGACGACTCATGTTGGAGGGGCCCGGCCCTCCTGCTCAGGAGATGAGACATGAGGCGCACGCACCAGGAAAGCGCTTGAGGTTGGAAACGCCCGGTGACGGCGTATTGGAAGTGCCGGTTCGGCCATGATTTTCGGCTTTGTTTGTTGGTCCTTTTTCTTTTGGGATGCAGGGTATTTGTACAGAAGTAGACCGTGTAGAAGTGACTATCTGACTATCTCTATCTCCCAGATGGGCCGTAGCAACAGAGGTTCTATAAGAGGTTTCGCTGGAGATATGCACATCAAGCAGGTTTGTTTGTTTTTTGTTCTCCATATTTTGCAAGTTTCACAGAAGCTTTGCGGCTGCGACTTGGTTGATTGGAAGATGAGGGTATCGCTGCTTGTGTTGATTGCTTCACATGCTTTGGCAGCCTCTAAAACCAGGGGAGTTGGAGAAAAAGGATCCGGAGTTGCAGGCGGACTGTGAAGACCCTGGAAAGCACTCTCGGAACACGACTGTCCTTAGAAAGCAAAAACGATGCTTAGATGCATCGGTTGGTGCTGCTAGCAATAATAATGACCAAGAAAAAAGTACACGAAAAATGGTAGGTAAAACAGTTAAACACATCATATTGTATGCATGTAAATATACACAGTATAAAGATAGCTACAGTTATCCTCAAGTCAGTAGAGTATGAATTATGCCCGAAGCATTCAACCTGAAAAGGACATCAAGCTGGTGGTTTGGAACCTCCTTGGGACCGAGAACGCCAAATGGGCAATTCGAGAACGCCCAGTGGAGAGGTCAAATGTCCACATGAAAAACGGACACATCCCAATCCATTTTCCATTTCAGTGTTCGCTTTCAGTGGCTGTCCGGATGCGTCGAGGCGGCCACTGTCCTCGGTGATCCCAGTCACGGCATCCCCAGTCACAAGGGGGTGCTACACAGTCCATCAAGGAGTCGCAACCATCCAGTCATCCAACGAAAAAACATGGCCAATACCAATACCATGATTCTAACCCTGCCAAGAGTTCGACTGACCAACCAGGCTGCCTGTCTGTGCTGACTGTCCTCAAGTTATGAAGCATGGTAGGTGGATGCCAAGGCTGAAGAGGTCGAATCAGAATGTTTTGCAAGGAAAGAGCATTGGTAGCTTTGCTATAGACAGCTTTGCTTTGGACATGTGTGCAGTCCACAGTCCACCGTGCTCTACTAGCCTGAAGAGGCCACGAAAATGAGTTGTTTCACAACAATGCACTGAAAGGACCTCTTTCATATGCCAATATTTCTGTTCGCATGACCGAGATCACTAGTGGCCGAGACACTTCAAGATTCTAGCAGCTGACTGACACTTCTAAGCTCTGATGAAAATGCTCTAGACTCTTCAAAACGAACCTTCCCACAAGTCTTGTAAATAGAAAACCATGTATGTATATACATATATGATATATATACCCCAAATGAGATGTGAAGACTTTCCCTCAACCACTCGTTTCGCTCTCCACCGCAGTCGTTCGCGCCATGGCCACCCTTCTGGCGGGCGGGCTCTTCGCCACCCGGGTACGACGTGGGGCGGCGGGAGGTGTTCGGACCCTAAAGGTGTGGAGGGTTGAAACCCCTGTTTTTTGGAGGGTTCTCCTCCCTGCTATGGAGGGTCCTTTTAGGATCCTGAGTGAAGTACAGTTGATAGGGTCCGAATGGGCCGAAATGGACGGCCTGGACGTGGTTGGTTGGAGCGAAGTCTGCGGGGGTGGTGTGGTGTGACTTGACATAAGACGGACGGAAATTCACAGCGCGGGTATGGCTGCAACTGAGGGATCTGGGATGGAGTGGAGGTATGCAGATGGCTCCAAACAGGATCGGAGCCAACCCAGAAGATGAAAGAGCACATTTTGTTCTTTCGGCGGGGTTGGCAGGTGTATTCATTTGTATTTATTTGGCCGTGGCTGTTCAACAGGTCAACCATTGACCAGTGGCTGTTTGTCAAAGCTAAACACCAAAGCACCAACAGTATAGGTGAGAGTTTCAGGAAGTATTCCAAGATGATCAGCGGCCAACACGAGGGGCAAGGCTACATTCTTTTGTTTTGTCATTTCCACTCCTTTCCTAGGGTTCCACAAGGACGTTCGGTTCGTGGAGGTCACATACAAACCAGCAAATTCTATGAACCGACTGTTGGTGCAATCTGATTGATTCACCTTGGGTGAAACACCAAGACCCTCGATTCCGGCCACTTTTTCAGACCCTGCTCCCTCGCCGAGAGACATGACCTGCAGTGGTTTTTGGAATTGATGTGAGCCAAGCACGACGCAAGCGAATGTGAGGTTTGTGATCTTGAATCCACACCTATGAGCTTTGCATACCCTAGAAGTCCAAGGACTATATTTTGACGGACTGAAGTAAAGGACATTCCTTTTCGAGTCACCTAAAGACCATTCTTTTTATAGACTTTGACTCCCAGGGGATTTTCAATGGGCTTGTCAGGTGTGACCAGGTGACCGCCCGGCTCGTCGTGTGGAGTCGAAGACGAGAAGCACACCGGTTCCGCCCGTTTTCGCTTCACCTTTCCGCCTCTGTTTTCGGTTGGCAACGGACCCTTCGTTGAACGGGTGGTCGAAACCCCAGAAGCGAAGGGAGCTCGATCCGCCTCGAAACCCAAGCAGTTCAGACAGGTATAAGGGTTTTGTCAACCACATACTGCCGCCATACTGCCTCCGCCCGCATTCTTGGCTCGCGACCGAACAGCACCGGTCAATGTAGCTCCCATGACGTTCTGTTGGCAGGTGGCGTTGGGACCGTGTTGGCGCCGGAGGGAACACGCGCGGGAGGGAAGCAGGTGTTTGGCCTGAAAAGCTGTTGATGCAAACAGCTCTTTCAAAGTGCCCAAATCATGAAACCACAAAGCTCGACATGTCCTGTCTGCGCCGTTCACATGCAATTCCGAAGCACACGGGACATCTAATGAATCCCGGCAAAGCGGCCACTGCGGTACGGATTGCGGCGCATCCGTTCGCTCACGGCTCTGGTTTTCCGGCTCAGGCGTTGGCCCTGCTGGCCCTGGTGGACGGAGCCCAGTTGGGCTCGAAGAAGGCACCGGCCCGTCTTAGACGGTGGGTCCGTCTCGTTGCCGTCCCGGACGTGGTCTCCAGCTGTCGAGAGCGGATTGAGATGCGTGTGGGAGGCGAACTGGTGGCCCAGCTTTGGTGGGTCCGCATTGCCGGAAGATGTTCAGGCGGCCAAAAAGCGGTTTCGGAGTCAGGTGAACGGGAGGGAGGACTGGGATGGTTCGTGAGACCCGCAGCGAAAGTTCATGGGGATGGAATGCTTGTGAACGCGTCGCTGCCCCGAAGCAGGGGGATCTTCTTTTCGTGGGTTGAATATTGTTCAACAACAGTGTTCGGCTCTGAGGTTATGGAAAGAAAACACAGGATTTGGTTTTGAAAGACGATGATGTTCTAAAGGATGGATGTGTCCATAAAGTTTGTGGGCTGCCAGGTCATGCACCGCATGACGTCACATGACGTCACAGAAAGCTTGTGGCACAGACCGTGTGAACTTGGGAAGGGACACTGCGGCACACTGCGGCAGTAACTCACCCAAAGAACCGGTAACTCGAGGCCGTTTGCCCCAATCCATCCATCCTGCCATCGTACGAAGTTCCTTCCCCCTCCCGGGTGGGACGTTCAATTTCGATGCAGTTCCTCCACTCGTACCGTTCTGCGCACCGTTCAGCGCACCGTTCTGCGCACCGTCCGCACCGCGGGTGCTGTGACCCCCGTGAGGCTCTGGTGAGTTCCAGCGGGGACGAAGCGCTGCCCTTGAAGGCGGCGAAGGGGCCCAGCTCGGGGTGGACATGGAGGGACATGGAGGGAACTCGCGTTGGCCCATTTGGAAGAAGGAGCTCAAGCGCAAGAAAGGTTGTGAGGAAGGGGTTTTGTCCTTCCTTTCGTGTTTGCTTCACCTGGGATCCTTTAAACGCCCGCACCCAGGCTCCTGCCGTTCCGGTGCCACATTCGCCGGTGGTGAGGCGGAGCGCCGCTTCCGGGCGGGGCGGGGCCTTGGGAGAGGGGTGGAAGAGAAATCGCATGGGAAGGGCATGGCTCAGCACACAGATATAGAGTGCTTTTTTGGGTGAAAAATTCACCAGCAATAGATATTCTGTTCTCCCTATAGCTATACGTGATCTTTCCACTCAGAAAAGAAAGGAGCCCTTGCTCTTACCCTGCGTGACCTGTGACCTGTGGCCAGGTGGCATTCCAAGAATCGTCCGAGGACTCCAAAGAGACACGACAGACCAAGGTCTGTCCAGAAACCTCTGACCTGACCAATCAAACCATCTCCAGTAGGTAGGCTCCTGATTAAGGCTTTTACAATTAATGTTCAATTGGTTCATTGATTTGCCGTGGGGGAATCTTCATGTGTGCGAATCTTGCGGAAGAGGTTTTGCTGTCACTTGGCACCGCTTCCCTACCTACCCGGACTCGCCATCACCAGGCCGCTCCGGGCAGTGTCGCCCGGCGCGCCAACGGCGCCTGCAGCTCCCGCGGTGCCGAGCATGGCGCCGGTGGCGGAATACGACGAGGTGAGTGCGCCGAGCACAGCGAAGCCTTCAGCTGCCCAAGCAGGTCGGGCGAAGGAGTCTCGGACGACCTGGAGGTCTCCACCATGTCCTGTTTCAGTGTGAAGGTGGCAGGACGAGCCCTCAAGTCCAGCGGAAACCCGACACTGCTCAGTTCCGACCGCCCTGATGGGACCGCCCTCAGATTCATGGGATCCGCCCGCAAAAGCCTTTTGGAGGGGGGAATTGGGGATATTCCCTTCAAAAGGAACAGGTGAAGAACACTTCACCGTCGCCGTAACCTGGATTTTCCAAACTGAGAGGGTCAGGCATGTAGACATCTAGAAACTTGCAAGTGGATCTTAACAGTGCCACCCTGGTCGCCGCCCTGGTCCAGACGCAACCATGTTGAAATACTGGTCAATTCCACGTTGCGACTAGTCTTTCTCGACCGGTGAAGCTGCTGAAAAAGGGCACCAAATCGACGACCTCGATCGGTAGATCTCGCCAGGTTCACACCCACGGATCTTCGCCACAGATACATATAGCGATATCGATCTCACGACCCCCCACGACGGGTGTAGAAAAACCGACCACCGACCGGAGCTGCGGTGTGGTGCGCAGTTCTGTCCGCGCTGATTGGCCTGAAGTTGGATCCGGAAGCACCGGAGGAGGCGGAGAGCAACGAGGCATGGGATGCTCTGGACATGGCGGTGCCATGCAACAAAGCAACTGGATGGGTTTTCACCAGGTTTTTCTACTTTGGTGACTCTTCTTTGGGAAGCTACAGGTTACCTTTCAAAGGCGAGACAGCTTTTTCGTTCTTTTTCTTCGGGTGTGGATTTGTAGAATGGGGTGCAGGATGCTGAAGAAAAGAAACACACTGTGCTGTTCAGGTGAGTAAAGTTGGGCTTGGTGTGAGTGAAGCGGTGGATCCGCTTGATCAATAATTAATAACAAATGAGAATATGCAGACGATGCTAGTGCAGCTTTAAATGAACAATAGCATCACTAGCATCACTTACATTCAAAGTTTGTGTATGTTTTGCAATCAATCAAGATTGCTTCAAAGTGATTGCACTCTGTCCTGACTCCCATTTCGATCTTGACCGAAAGATGAGAAGATCACCCTCCGCCCTGCACTGGACCGGTGCACCAAAGAACTGTCTTTTGACGACGAGAGTTCACCGGTCCTTCGATGCCGATGAGTCACAGCGATGAGACAAGTGTCCAATCTGAACATTGACTGATTGAAAAACGTCAGCCGACAGACGTGATGCTACTAGAAACTCCTGGCATCCCTACTAGTAGCAAGAAGCTACAAGTAACCAGGCACCGCACTACTAGAAGCAAGAAGCTACTAGTAGCTCCCAAAAAAGAAGAGCCATGGCCATGGAGGTTTCATTTCGACAGCTGGACGGCGAAGGAATGATTCTTGAAGTCATGCCAGAAATGACTGGCCGGAACTCAAGCAGCGGATCAAGGACCGCCAGCTTTGGGACGATGACCTCACACGCAAAACAACCCGGGTTGACATCCTTGTGGGGCCGAGCAGATTGCTGACAGACAATGATACAGCTGCTGACGCAGGCCTGTCTTCAGAATCAGAAGCAACCATCATTTTGAGACAAAACATTGTGACATGCTCCTACAAAGGGGAGTTTGCCCGGTTTGTGTATGAGGACAATGATGACGATGATGACAACGACGATGACGCTCACGTCTTGTACGACTTGTACGACTTCGTCGACGACGACGACGACGAGGACGACGACCTCGACCTTCACCACTCGGAGTCATTATTTGTAGTTCAAATCACAAATGGTGCAACAACATGCAACAACTATTGTTCAAAACGCATTCATGTGCTGCAACTTGTTGGCAAGTGTGACCATCCCCGATTCAGTGACCCAGATTGGGAACGCAGCCTTTGCAGGATGCAGCTCGTTGGCAAGTGTGACCATCCCCGACTCAGTGACCGAGATTGGTAGTGTTGCCTTTG